GGTAGTTTTCTGGAAGTCTCTGGTGCTCTTCGCAGGTGGCTCACAGCTGCATTCTCTCTCTGGACGCTTGAGGGGAGGCTCCCTCCTGCCTCTCCCAGCTCCTGGGGGCTCCAGCATTCCTGGGCTTGTGGCCCCAGCACTGCAGTCTGTGCTTCCTCCTCTGTGGCCTCCTCCTCTGTGTCTGCGTGTCCTCTTCAGTCTTTTAGAAGGACACCTGTCATTGGATCCAGGCCCCACACTAATCCAGGATGATCTTACCTTGGGATCTTTAAGTCATCACATCTGCAAACACCCTATTTCCAAAGAAGGTCCCCTTTTGAGGTTCTGGGCTTTAGGATTCAGACACATCTTTTGTGACGGCCGGTGTTAAACTTTTAAGAGGCCGAGGTGGGTGGATTCACCTGAGGTCGGGAGGTGAAGACCAGCCTGATCAACATCCAGAAACCGCATCTCTACTAAAAATACAAAAATTAGCTGGGTGTGGTGGTGTGCGTCTGTCATCCCAGCTACTTGGGAGGCTGAGGCAGGAGAATGGCTTGAACCCGGGAGGCGGAGGTTGCAGTGAGCCGAGATCGTGCCATTGCACTCCAGCCTGGGTGACAGAGCGGGACTCTGTCACAAAAAGAAAAAAAAATTGCACACTGGAACAAAGGAAAAAAACAAAATCACATTCCGAGATTCCGGGCAAACCTATATTTGGTGGTGAGGGAATTGTCCTGTCCCACGGAACCACAATTTTGACGTCACGAAACTTTTAAAAGGGAAGAAGGGGGCCGGCTTCGGGTGGCTTATGGCTGCAATCCCAGCACTTTGGGAGGCTGAGGCAGGCGGATCACCTGAGGTCAGGAGTTCGAGACCAGCCTGGTCAACATGGCCAAACCCCATCTCTACTAAAATAAATACAAAAGTTAGCCAGGGGTGGTGATGGGCGACTGTAATCCCAGTACTCTGAACCTGGGAGGCGGGGGCTGCAGTGAGCCAAGATCTCACCACTGCACTCCAGCCTGGGCAACAGGGAGGGACTCCATCTCAAAAGAAAAACTGACAAAGTCCTGAGGCTGTTGAGGGCAGAGTGGCCGTCAGACATGAAAACGCGCGTCCAGATTACTTGGTTCCACGTGAAACGTGAAGAGCTTGTTCGATGTTTATTAAAACGGCTGACCGTTTAATGATTTTGACGACAGACACGGACACTTTTGCAAAGGTGTCACCTCTGTAAACCAAAAACTATTGAAGATGTCTTTGCAAAAACCGTAAGTGAGAGGCAGGCGCGGTGGCCCATGCCTGTCATCCCAGCACTTTGGGAGGCTGGGGCGGGTGGGTCACCTGAGGTCAGGAGTTCAAGACCAGCCTGGTCAACGTGGAGAAACCCCATTTCCACTAAAAAATACAAAAAATGAGCCGGGCGTGGTGGCACCCGCTACTGGGTGCCACACTGGAATTACACAGTAATTCCAGCTACTGGGGAGGCTGAGGCAGGAGAATCACTTGAACCCGGGAGGCGGATGTTGCAGTGAGCTGAGATCGCGCCATTGCACTCCAGCCTGGGCAACAAGAGTGAAACTCTGTCTCAAAAAAAAACAAAAGAAAGAAAGAAAAAGAAAGAATAACAGTTTTTAGGGGTCATGAAGTCTCTAGCTCCAAGTCTGAACCACCCAGATTCAACCATTTTTGTGACCGCCATGCAGGAACAGAACATGGTAAGGAAAACTCACTTTAACGCCCTGCGATTCCATCTCCAGCCTGACCAATCAGTGCTCCCCGCTTCCCAAGCATCTACCTGCCGGATTGTATTTATTTGTTTGTTTGTTTATTTATGAGACAGAATCTCGGCCTGGCGAGCTGGCTCACACCTGTCATCCCAGCATTTTGGGAGGCCGAGGCAGGCGGATCACATGACGCTGGGAGTTCAAGACCAGCCTGGCCAAGTTGGTCAAACCCCATCTCTACTAAAAACAGAAAATTAGCCGGGCGTGGTGTCATGTGCCTGTCATGCCAGCTACTCGGGAGGCTGAGGCAGGAGAATCGCTTGAACCCGGGAGGTGGAGGTTGCAGTGAGCTGAGATCACACCACTGCACTCCAGCCTGGGGAACAGGAGCCAAACTCCATCTCAAAAATAAAATTTAAAATGACTGGCTGCAAGGAAATCCCGTGACCTACCTCGTTGGACTAAAGGTCCTAAGACTGTCATTCCAGAGACATTCCTACCCTCACCCAGAGAAAGGAAGGTTGCTCAGAGAGGCTGGGAAGAATCTAGACGGACAGGCCTGGCTGCGTTTCCTCCCTCGCCCGTAGCATGAGACCGGCCCCTTCCCTCCGGTTCTGTTTCTACAGAGCTGGCCACACTTTCTTAGACCTAAGCATTAAAATGAACAGTTTCACTCCCGGCTCAGAGGCTCACAGGTGTCATTTCAGCACTTTGGGAGGCCAGGGCGGGTGGATCACCTGAGGTCGGGAGTTCAAGACCACCGTGGCCAACACGGAGAAATCCCATCTCTACTAAAAATACGAACGTGAGGCCTCGTGGCCCATGCCTGGAATCCCAGCTACTCGGGAGGCTGGGGCAGGAGCATCGCTTGAACCCGGGAGGCGGAGGCTGCAGTGAGCAGAGATCGCACCCCTGCACCCCAGCCTGGGTGACAAGAGCCAGACTCCATCTCAAAAATGGAAGAAAGAGAGAAAGAAAGAAGGGAAGATGGAAGGAAGGAAGGAAAGAAGGGAGGGAGGGAGGGAAAAAAAGAAACAGCAAATAACCCTGCTTCTCATCGGTTCTAAGAAGCTTCCTCTCCACTGCTAACCTTCAGGATACACTGCCAGACAAGTGAGTTTTGAAATCCCGTGACTCACGGCTTCTGGTAATCCTCGGTGATAGAAAACCAGAAGGCAGGCCGGGCGCGGAGCCTCACACCTGAAATCCCAGCACTTTGGGAGGCCGAGGCGCGCGGATCACCTGAGGTCAGGAGTTCGAGACCAGCCTGACCAACAGGACGAAACCCCGTCTGTCCTAAAAATACAAAAATTAGCCGGGCGTGGTGGCGGGTGCCTGTCGTCCCAGCTACTCGGGAGGCTGGGGCAGGAGAGTCACTTCAACGCGGGACGCGGAGCTGACAGTGAGCGGAGATGGCACCGCGGCAGTCCGGCCTGGGAGACATAGCAGGACTCCACCTCAAAAAATAAAAATAAATAAGAGTTGAAACGTTGCGCTGAGCCGACCCGAAGTGAGGACCCTGCCTCAGTCTCCACACTGGCTGGGACGACAGGCACCTTCCACCGCCCCCAGATAATTTTTGTATGATTATTATTATTTTTTTTTGAGACGGAGTTTCGCTCTTGTTACCCAGGCTGGAGTGCAATGGTGCGATCTCGGCTCACCGCAACCTCCACCTCCCGGGTTCAGGCAATTCTCCTGCCTCAGCCTCCTGAGTAGCTGGGATTACAGGCACGCGCCACCATGCCCAGCTAATTTTTTGTAGTTTTAGTAGAGACGGGGTTTCACCATGTTGACCAGGACGGTCTCGATCTCTTGACCTCGTGATCCACCCGCCTCGGCCTCCCAAAGTGCTGGGATGACAGGCTTGAGCCACCGCGCCCGGCCTGCTTGGTTCTTCTTAGGACTTTGTAGACAGCACAAAAGGCATCTGGATTTCTCTGTGTGTGCAAGTGCGTGTGCACGTGTGCGTGTGCCAATGCTTGTTTGTGCACAGGTGTGTGCAGATGTGTGTGGAGTTCTGTGTATGGACATGTGCAGTGTGTGCAGGCATGTGAGGACGTGTTTGTGCAGGGTGTGTGCAGGACTGTATGCGTACAGATGTGTGTGCAGTGAATAGGTAGATGTGCATGTGTAGTGGTATGTGTGCACACATGCACTGTGTGCAGGTGTGTGGCTATGCATATGAATGTGTGTGTGTATGTCTTTGTGTGCAGAGGTGTGTGCAGGTGTTTGTGTGTGCAGATGTCTGTACAGGAGTGTGTGTGTGCAGATATGCATGTGTGTGCAGCTGTGTGTGCAGGAGTGTATGTGCAGGTGTGTGTGCAGGAGGGTGTGCAGGAGATTGTGTGTACAGATTTCTGTGCAGGTGTGTGTGTAGATGTGTAGGCAGATGTGCACGTATAGTTGTGTGTTTGGGCATGTGGAGATGTGTGCAGATGTGTGTGCAGGTGTTTTTGTGTGCACATGTGTGTGCAGCTGTGTGTACAGGAGGCTGTATATGCAGGTGTGTGTGCAGATGTGTTTGCAGACATGCATGTGTGTGCAGGAGGGAGTGTGTGCAGGAGTCTGTGTGTGCAAGTCTGTGTACAGTTGTGTCTGCAGGTGTGTGTAGGTGTGTAGGCAGTTGCACGTATCTACACATGCAACAGGTGTGTGGGGATCTGTGTGCAGGTCTGTGTGTGCAGATGTGTGTACAGACATGCATGTGTGTGCAGGTGGGTGTGCAGATGTGTGCATGCACATGTGTGTGCAGATTTGTGTGCAAGTGTGTGTGGGTGTGTAGGCAGATGTGCATGTATAGTTGTGTGTGTGCACATGCACACTGTGTGCAGGCATGTGGAGATGTGTGCACATGTGTGTGCAGGAGTGTGTGTGCAGGTGTGTGTACAGACATGTATGCAGGTGTGTGTGTGTAGGAGTGTGTGTGTGCAGGAGTGTGTGCATGTGTGTGTGCAGGAGTGTGTGTTCAGGTTTGCATATAGGAGTGTGTGTGCAGGTGTGTGTACAGATATTGCAGGTGTGTATGCAGGAGTGTGTGTGTGCAGGAGTGTGTGTACAGGTGTGTGTGCAGGTGCGTGTGCAAGGGTCTGTGTGCACAAATGTGTGCAGGAGTGTGTGTGCCGGTGTGTGTACAGATATGTGTGCAGGTGTGTGCACACGAGTGTGTGTGTGCACACATGTGTGTGCAGCCGTGTTTGCCGGTGTGTGTCTGTGTCTGCAGATGTGTGTAAGACTCACACTTGAGCTGACCCACAAGCCGCTCTTTGGAGCGGAGGTCAAGAGCCAATGACCTCACCCGCAATTGTAGGTTTCCCAATCCTATGAAATGAGGAAGCCGAGGTGGGAGGCGGGGAAGCCTTTAGGACGGAGAGCAGCGTGACAGGAGGTGCCCAGGCTGGAGTCCCCCCGGGAAGACAAGCACAGCAAGGAGGGGAAGCAGGTGCCGTGGGGTAAGCTGCATTCTTTAATGTCCTCGTCTTTCCACATCTGGAGCCACCAGGGTACGTGTTTCTGCTTCTGTGTGTCGGGGTCAGAGACAGAAACACAAAAGAAGATTTGAAACTTGCGTTGACTTGAGCAAAAGTCAGCTCAGCTGCCCTGAAGAGTCAGCCCCAGGGAGACTCGGCTACAAACTGTATTCTGCCTTCGTTATAAGCGGGTTTAAGAAAAAGTGGGGGCGAGGGAGGTGTTGGGGGACAGGGATTGGGCTTCTGTGAAGCTGTTAGCTAGGAAGTCTCATAGATTTAAAGAAAAAAAAAAAAAAAACAATGGGGAAAGGACCCCTATTC